AAAGATCGCGTCTAGACTGCAGGCGGATCTTCGATAGAGGAAATCCGCTTTTTCGAAAGAGAGCACCCAGCGAGTCTGGATGCTCTCTTTCGAAGACGGCCTCTTTACATTGAAGAACGCCTTCCTTCGAAAGAGGAGCTTTCGAAGGAAGGCGTTCTTCCTCGTGAAACGAGGTTTACCGCCATCGAAAGAAAAGCCGCGTTCTTTCGAAATAATTTCGAAAGAACGCGGCTTGAGTCTGGACGCAGGGGAAGTTTTTTCGGGAAAAGGCTACTTTTCCCGAAAAAACCCCTGAGTCTGGACACGGCCTTAGTGTGAGAAGGAGCAAATTCTGATCTCATTTACACCTATATGAAGCCTTCTGTGTTCATTCTGTCTCAACTATCCACACTGTTATGCCAGGTGACATTGGTCTCCTCAACATTTTGGACCCGAGTCTAATCCAATGTGACATCAGTACAACTGAGATCAGAGTCAGGTCATTTGTCTTAAGTTTATAGATGCTTCAGTTGCCAAAGACAAAGTGAGAACTAGTTAATTAATACAGCTAGTTAATTAATACAGGGAGCTTTGCTTTTTTTGCTTCCAAGGACTTTGGTGCAAGCTGGGGTTTGTGGCCTCTACCTGGAAGATGTTAACATGGATGTAGGGGTGAGCAAGGAACGATCGTGTGATCAACATGCAGATGAGGGCAGACCACACCGATTGGAACCCTGAGACATTGACCAAGAGCCAGTAATGGGAGTAGAGACCAAGACACATGCAGCAGAGGGTCCGGAGAGCTGTTTTCAACTCGACATCCTTCAGCAAACCTATGAAAGAACAGATAACATACAGAGCAGCACTCAACATCTCCCTACATCTCCCAGTTTACCCAGATGGGGTATAATGCTGCAGTGCTTATATTCCAAATCCCAGAATAGGCACTGGTCTGTCACTCTGTATAAATTCCAAGGGCACTTGATCCCAGACCCACTTCAACACCTATGGTTCCACTGGCTAGACGGTTTCAGTCCTGAGTCAAATTACTGATGCTCTTAGCAAGCTTCAGCTTACTCAGGTCAAATTCTGCACTGAAGTCAACAGACATTTGCCTGAGCAAGGACCAACAAAAAATTAAAGGCAGCTCGCTCACTCTGAGTAGCACTCACCCGAATGAGTAGCCCCACAGACTGAACGCTACAGTTACTCTGCAACACAAGTTGGGATGGCAGAATCAGGGCTTACATAATGACCTCAGAATTTGGCCCTATCTGATTTTTCAGCAAGCAATTGGCAGCTGTTCACTGCCTGTGGCTGTGTGCTGACAGAAGAGTTTCCATACACAATGGACATTGCATTTCCTCAGTTATCATGCAGTCTCTTCTTCCACTGTCTGCACCTCCTGATCTCATTCTTCCCACTAACACCATCTTCTTACACACCCTACCACTGACCCCAGTGCTCTTCTCCTGCTCCTTCCTATCACGTGTTACGTGTGCTTGTCATGTCTCATCCTAACTTTGGGCACGTCTACACTGCAGTGTTATTTTGAAATAACTAATGCAGGGGTGGCCAATTCGCAGCTCTTGAGCCGCATGCGGCTCTTTGTTCCAAGAAATGCAGCTCTTGCTAGTTCTGAGCCGTGCGCCCAGACTGCTCATGGCTGGCCGCTCTGCGCACATGCCCCAGCACCTGGAGGGAGAAGCACATGACGACAGTGATGGCAGCAGCTCCAGTGAGACCCAAGCATTAGGTTAGAGCGGGGGCGGGGAGAGCCGGGGATGCCTGGCTCTGGAGGCAGAGTGAGGCATTGGATTAGGTTGGGAGGCTGGGAGTGCCTGGCTCTGGGGGAGAGGAAAGGGATTTTGGGTTAGAGCAGGGGTGGGGGAGTGCTGAAGCACCTTAAACTCAAAGTCTTCATGGATGCAGAATAAGGCAGCCAACACAAGTGTCATATTTAAATTCCAGGGCAAAAAAAATATCAGCATGTACCTGATTTACACTGTATTTCTTTAAAGAAAAATCAAAGACTATTGTTTGCCAGGCTGAAGCAATTATTCTGAGATATGAGTCTCTCCCTTGTTGTTTTTGAACTTATCATATTTGCAGTCTGGGACAGACCTGAATTTTTAGAACTATAAAAAAGCCATAATCTTCATAAGTAAAAAAATGAGGAAATCATACGAGAGATCAACAAGCTGGAGTGAAACAGGCACTTCAAATTGTGCTAATTTACTTCTCTGTTCAGTTTAATAAAAAAAAAAACCTCACGGGCCATAATAGGGCAGTAGTGTTAAATTTAAAATACATGGTGGGGATGCTTTTTTTTAGTGTGAGAATATTACTGTATTTTTAAAGTTATTTTTTATTTGATGTTTGTTCCTTGTCAACTTCTCTGAAGATCTATGGACTGGCTGTGAATTTTTCAAGTGACTACAGACTTTTTTATTGTTTTTTGTCTGAAACGTCCTGTAATTTTTATCACTACATTTTGTGTACTATGTCTATATCTATCTATCTATGTATAGATATATATATAAAAATAAATATATAATATGTGGCTCTTTGTACTCTATCCACAGCTATTTTGGCTCTTCATCTCTAGCTGGTTGGCCGCCCCGGAACTAACGTTATTTTGAAATAACAAGGTGAGTGTATACACAGCAAGCCCGTTATTTCAAAATAATTTCAAAATAACAGGCTTCTTATTCTGGAATAATAAACCCTCATTTCACAAGGAATAACACCTATTTTGAAATAGTTATTTCTAAATAAGTGCGTAGTGTAAACCTACCTTTAGACTGTATACTGTTCAGGCAAGGAATGACATATGTTCACTCCCTAGTACAACCAGGCCTTTAACCTGACTAGGATTTTCATCATGTCAATAACTGTATCTATCTGTTCCCTCGCCCTTACAAATGAATTTAATTTTTAGTTTTAAAAACTTGCAAGTTTTAAACAATACTCATAGAAGAAAGAGATCTCAGAGGAAAGCAACATACCAAGGGCCACTAGAGGAGTTAAAATAGGTACAGCTATGGGTGCAATGAACATGTAGATGTATCGGTTCAAGAAAGGAATCTTCCAAGTACTGGAATCGCCTAGGCTGATAACGTTAGTGTAACCGTGGTGCATTTTCACATGGTTGTAGTATGCCTGCTCTGCTGTGAAAGCTGAGCAAATCTGGAAGAGAAAGAAAAGGGATGTAAATGCAGAACAGCGTGCATACAGATCCACAACATTGTCTCTCTGGAATGACACCACCACAGAGGTTCACACTCAAGGCCTTGTTATGGTCATGCAATAGGATAAGAGGACTAATATGATATAACTACACTGGAGAAATGCATCTGTGGTATGCTATTGAAGCTGCGTGACACATGGATGGTAGATAATTTCTGGAGTTACACAATGATGTGTGCTTTACGGCTGAGGACAGTACTAATCTCTAAGGTCACTTGCTATGATAAGAACATTCCAGTTACACAAAGAGTTATTCAAGTTACTGATTATCAGAGACAGGCTTTCATCAAAACCCTGAATCAAAAAACTTCCAGCTTGAGGTAGTGAGATGCAGAATTGATTTTCAGGCCCAGCTCCACTAAGTGGGACCTCTAATAATTGTGTCTACAATTGGCTGCTCTGAATGTATGAACTCTTAGACAATTAGGAGCTGATGTCTGTGCCCTAACTGATTGGAAAGCTAATTTATCTTTATTTTGGAAATTCCAATTTTCCAGTATGGTGTCAGAGTTGATATATGGCCTGCTTAATATGACAATAAGATATTATAACAAACTGTGTTCACTTTATACTTCCTGGTTGTCATTACATTGCACACTAGGGCCACTTGCAGTTTTGTAGCACCAGAAGAGATAAAACTCACTTTCTCCTGTTCCAAAAAGCACCAGGTTGCAACAACTGAGCCAAAGGAGAATCCCTAGAAATCATCAACAATATAGAGGCTACAACACATTCCTGAACAGTTGTGATTCCACCCAGTAGAGGGCAGTGAGGTACAGGCACACTAGCCAGCTGATTGCAGTGGTCTATCTATACAGTGGACAGTCAAAAATATGTTTTCCAAGTTCTGCTAGGTTATTCATTTAGAAAAATAAAGTTAGTCAACAGAACTAATTAGTTTTTTTAGGTAATTTTTCTCTCTTAATATACCTGTCCTTTGACTGGACAGTGCTACTATTTCCACACCAGGGATCAAATCTTCATTCCAAAAGCTACTTCCTAGTGGATCAGTGAGGCTGGTTGCTATCAGAAGAAGACAGAAGAGGATTTCCTGCATATCCTTTAGTATTTTCAAAATCAGAAGAAAAGTCTCTCCTCTTTGGAGAGGAACTTGGCAGTGAATACATTGCAACTTGTTGAGCCGCTGGTTAGAACTAATGTAACAAATTCTGAACTTGGATACACTAGCATGAATTGAGAGTAACTAAGTTAGGAACCTGGTGATGAGTCTCCCTCCTTGGCATTAAAATATCTCACAGAACTGCCTCTGTTCAATGGAAATGTGCTTCTATGAATATCATCTACCACATCGCCCGTGTATGTACCCTGAGCCACATACACGTGCCATGCAGTGGTGCAGCTCACCATCTCCACATTGATGCAACACTACAATGTGTATCTGTTGTAAGCTTTGCAGTGTTCTGCCGAGCTACCTAGGTTTTTATAGCCTCCTAGCAGCATGAAATCTGAGCACCTTTGATATAAACTTACACACAGGAACATTCTTACACACAGCAGGGTATTGGTGATATACCTCAATGAAGAATATAGCCCAAACTTTCCCCCAAGTCTTGGACTCTGTCAAAGCATTGTGGCTGGCCAAGTGGCTTCCTTTCACTGTTGCTGTGTGGTGTACCATGCCCAAGAGGAAGATGCCCAGAAGGAAGGGAAGGACATTGTCTGAACGCAGACACAGGAACCCTAGAGATAGAAAGAAAAACCTTGGAGGTATTAAGCCTTCTCTAGATAATCAAGATCAGAGCAGTATAATGGCCAAGGCAGGATTACGTTCCCCATAAGAACTATACTTCTCGGCTACATCTACATTGGCCCCCTATTACGAAATAGGCATGCTAATGTAGCACTTGGGAATAGGCAAATCCACGGGGGATTTAAATATCCCCCGTGGCATTTGCATTTTCATGGCTGCCGCTTTTTTCCGGCTTGGAGATAAGCTGGAGAAAAGCATCCAGACTGGCGTGATCCTCAGGAATAAAGCCCTATTCCGGAGGATCTCTTATTCCTACTTGCAGTAAGAGAATAAGAGATCCTCCGGAATAAGGCTTTATTCCGGAGGATCGCGCCAGTCTGGACGCTTTTCTCCGGCTTATCTCCAAGCCGGAAAAAAGCGGCGGCCATGAAAATGCAAATGCCGCGCGGATTTGCCTATTCCCAAGTGCTACATTAGCATGCCTATTTCGTAATAGGGGGCCAATGTAGACGTAGCCCTCCTGTGCAAATGATATCTCTTTCAGAGGTAGTCTCCATTTTCCTTCTTCTCACTGCAGTAAAGTGGAAATCCAGGTGTCCACTTCATATACTACTAGGATGAGGGCCAAAAAAGTACCTCGCTAGATGGATAGATTAAAGTCTATGAGACAGGGAAGTGTCTGTGTGTACCTTGTGAATGTCTAGCCATCAGTTCAAGGTAAACATGATTAACTCACAACTCCTAACTCCCCACTGCCAAGCCCTCCCCTCTCTCTTTTCTGAACCACTGTGGACACCACCATCATCTAGGCCTAATATCAGGGCATCACCTTCAACCTTAATCTCTCTCTAGAATAGATCCTCATACCCAGGCTATATCTAAAACTTGCTGATTCCTTCTGCTTAACATCTCTAATGGCAGGTCTACTCTACAAACTTGCATTGGCTCAGCTGCACCAGTGCAGCTGTGTTGCTGTAGCACTTCTGGTGAAAACTCTCTAAGCCAGTGTTGGGCAACCTGCGATCACAGGCCACACATGGCTCATCAGGGGAAGCCGCCGGCGGGCTACCAGACAGGTTGTTTACCTAGCGTCCGCGCATCCTGCGCTGCTTCCTGCAGCTCCCGTTGGCCAGGAACAGTGAATTGCAGAACAACGGGAGCTGCAGGTGGTCATATTTGTGGATACAAGGTAAACAACCTGCCTGGTGGTCTGCCAGGAGCTTATCCTGATGGGCCACGTGCACCCTGTTGGTTGCCAACCACTGCTCTAAGCTGATAGGTGAGAATTCTCCTGTTGCTTTAATAAGTCCAGCTTCATGAAAAAAGCTCACCTCTGACACAGCACTGCCCACACTTGGGGTGTGTGTGTTAAGGTCAGTATTACTATATGACTCAGGGAAGTGGATTTTTCACACCCCCGAGCAATGCAGTTATATCGAAGTAAGTGCAGTGTAGATCTGGCCTAAGATATTAGAGAAACAGGTTAGGTGAGGTAATATATTTTATTGGATCAACTTGAATTGGAGAGAGAGACAAGCTTTTGAGCTAACCAGAGCTCTTCTTCAGGTCTGGGAAACATACTCTGTGTCCAATTATATACAAGGTGGAACAGATTGATTAGCAAAAGTATTTAACATACATTGCCTCCCTTCCAACCACGCACCTCCATTCCTTCCTTGCCTTCCACCATTCTTATTTTCCTTTCTTTCTTCATCTTTTTACTGTATTGTCACCACTTTTTACTGTATTGGGGAGGAGCAGGAGAGCTAAATTGAGGAGTATTGTTAATGTGCTACCATCCGCCAGTTCTTTGGTCTATAGACAATTATACATGGTCCAAACAGATGGCTCTAATAACTAGATGCCAGGGTCTCCATGGGTCCCACATTTCTTCCTTCCATCCTTCCAGTTTTTGCATGTCCACCAAAATATATAGGGTTCTATCTAGTGTCCTGAGATCATTCCCTAACATTTTGGAAGTGTTTGGATACAGCATTTGTAAGTTATTGTATTGAATCCAAACATGCACATGGAGCAATGCCATCACAGTGAGTGGAAGGCCTCACACGATTGGTCAAATAAACAGTGATGGCAAAACATTCCAGACTTCTAGTCCATTTTAGCTAAGCAGCCATAAATCCAAAAAATAATCCCAGGGATCTAAGTCCCCCCACCCTTCTCCTTGTGGGAGACTCTTCATCTTCCACATTAAAGCCAAGGCTTTTAAGGCACTTCATAAACCTGACCCTGCTTCCATCTCAGTTTGCATCTCCAGCTCCACCCAACCCCATCCCAGGAAGGTTCACTCCCTTAATCTCTTTTTCCCCACTCCCAACCCGATGCCCTCTGTCACACTGCTCAGTGTACCTTGGCCAACACCACACTCCCATTCACTCCTTCTTCAAAAACACTTCTGAGAAGTTACCCCACTCTCGCATTTTCTAGCTCCAATCACACCGTATGTCTCCTTGTTTGTACCTTATTAGAGTGAGACTCTAAGCTCTTTAGGGCAGGGACCTGTTAGTTGCTTGGCACAACAGCTCCCCTCATGCACAAGGATCTATAAGTTCCCAGTGTCTTTTTTAATTCACTCAAGCAAATTCCTACTGAAATCAATGAGAGTTTACCTAAATAAGAACTGAACAAGCCCTCTGTGCTAGGGATGTTAAAATGTGGGTAATTGGCTAACCGTGTTACAACTGAAAATGTCAGCAGTTACATGGTTACACACACCCACAGGGCATGGCGACTGCCTGCTCCCCAGGAGCCAGTGCACACCAGGAGCTGGCTTAAAAGTCGGCTTCCGGCATGCCCTGGCTCCCAACTTCTGCCCCGCACTGCTGCCTCTGATACCCCCGGGACCGGAGAGACACATATATAACTGTTTGGGTAACCAATAAGCTCATGCTTATCAGTTACCCATGTAAATAGCTACACTCTTGCATCCATACTCCACACAGGGAGAAATACCTACCCAGTTGTTTTTACCAGGTTCTCAGGCAGGATACCCACTGAGCTAACTCCTGAAAGGTACTGAGTTCTTAATTAAAACTCCCAGTGTCATCAAGGGATGCTGCAGATACTCAGCCCCTCCCAGAATATGGCCAAAGGGGAAATTTTCCTGCCTAAGGAGTTCAAGATTTGATACAATGAAACAAATATGAGAGAAGCTTTAGCACCCTCCGAGTCCCTTATTCTGAGCTGCAGTGAGGGAAGCTGCTGGGGGTTAGAGGCATCACGTTATTGACTTACTAGGATACATTTGGTTTAGATATAAAGTTATGCATAAGCTGCTGTCTTCATAATTCCAACCCTATGCAGCACTTCCAGGAGATGAAACACCACTAGCTCCAAAGCCACCTTAGGGATCTACAAAAGCGGTGTGAGCACTGTCTGTAGGGTGCAGAAGCTCTTCAGTGTAACTGGGACAGACCTGGAAATACCTGTCCCAGGATGAATGGAGAACTATCAGTGATATCTGTCTATGCTGGTAGCTTCTCATGCCCTTTATTCATAGCAAGAATTAATGTTCACTGGCTGCCAGAGAACAAACGAGGGCCTGTACTGGCAATTCTTGCACCTCCTGAGAGAAGCTGCAAGACCAGCTCTGCCTGCAATTATAAAAATGTCTCTCTTACATCACGCCCACCACCAGAACTATACGGAGTCACTCATAAAAATATAATAACAAATCTTTCCCAGCAGGGCTGAGCTCCCCTTTGAAGATCTCACAAGGGCAGACAGAGTGAATGTTGAAAAGCAGCCCTGCAGTGCTGAATAGGGAAGGCTTCCCCAAATGCACATCTGCAAAGGGTTAAATCAGAGAAGGCAGAGGCACTGAAAAGGCTGCTGCCTTGGCATCCCACTTATCTGAAATTCGCCTGCATGCTCAGTCTGGATCCTCAGGAACAATTACCAGCTGCATCAAGTTTTTAAGCCTGAGCAGGTTTCAAGCATGGGCACCGAAATGATGCCGAGCACAGTTCGGCTCTGCTGCATTCCGGCTCTTACGCTGCACCCATCGCCACAGGCTCTTTTGCCTGGAGTGACATTTGCAGAGAAACGGCATTGGGCACTGGTTCCGCTGAGCCCACTGCTGACCCCAGGTAACAGTGTTCATATGATACAGATCTCAGGCACCGACCCACGTGGCAGTATGAGAAGTAGAGCTTTGGATAACAGCAGCAGTGCTCGGAGGTGCCCTTCACCCCGTTAGCAGCAACATCTAGGTGGCTAATAACCAGCTGAGCTATCATGCCTGCTAACGCAAAGGGAATACAATTCCCATTAACATATCATGAGAAAGCAATAAGGAGATTCAGGGGCCCTTCCCTTCCCTCCCCTCCCCTCCCTTAGTTGACACAAGCTTCCCACTGTTACCTGCAGGAAGGACGAAGAAGTGCAGGGCAATGATACAGTCGTCTATGCCATGTCTCTCCCACCAGCTGCTTCTCTTCACCACCTGCTGCACCAGCTCAGAGAGCTCCCCCATCAGAGATTCCTCACTTCTTCCCTCCTCGGGAGGCTCCCTTTCTTCTTTGGCACCTCTCTGGATGACCCTCGGCATTTCTTCTCCTCTGGATGTGTTTCCATCTCCTTCCAGGACTGGATGATTTAAAGAGCACCCTGGATCCTGTCCTTTTGGAGTCACCTCCTGCACTGGGGGGCCTGCTCTGCTGAGGCCAGTCTGAAGCTGTGGTGTTGGAGCTGCAGTGTCTTGACTTGGTGTGTCCCCTTGCCCCAGTTTCTCACCTTTCTCCGGGCCATTTCTCCCTTCTCCTGGGGCAGCTGGCTGTTCCACTCTGTGGTTTAGGGGAGAATCTTTTTGCAGAGGATCTGTCCTGTCTGTGCCTGCCTCACTTGGCTGCTTCCCCTTCTGTCTCTCTTGGTACAGGTCCTGATTCTCCATCCGCATCTCCTGCCATGACTCCATCCCCCTGCAGAGCACAGGACACTGCAGAGTGATCCAAGTGCCAGTACCTCTGCAGGATCAAATAACAAATGAGCCTGTCCTGGTAAGGGCAGAGACCGCAGAGAAATGCAGCTGGCTTTGGCAGAAGGGCCACAGTGTGCAATCGGAAATGTTTGCAGACTGTAAGCTCAAATTGCTTAGCACTAGTAATGTGAAGCTGGCTTTACTCCCATCCCTAGACTCTGCCCCTTTCTCACCCTCTCATTCTCTCCCTCATCTGCTCCTTCCACGCCCTTTCTGACTCTCTCCCACTTATGGTGCTGCCGTGTCTGTTGCCCTTGGCTCTCCCTGTCATGAAGAATAGCTTGTGCAGGCAAGCAGAGTTCTGCTGCTCTCGCCAAAGCCAAAGGACATGGGAAGGGCAGCAATATAAAAAAATGTTACCGCTCCTACAGAGGAGTGCAGAGCTATTCTGGAGGCAAGAAAAGGGAGAGCAGAGAGCAGAGAGAAACAAAGAACAGCGAGTGGGACCCTCGTATGCATGCCAAGCATCCCTCATTAGGAGGGAGGGTTCCTAGAGCGAGATACTACTCATATTCTCACTCTGTCTTGCCCTAAAGCTCCCCTAGCTCTGTGGATTTTGGAGTTAGGTGTACTCCTATTTTTCTCTCCAAATGTTCCTACATATGAGTACCAAACATGAGTGAGTCTAGGAGTACTAACCCATTTCTAAAAGCAAGCATCAGCATAGTTTCTGGGAACTTTTAGCACATGGAATGTCCATGGGAGGCAGGGTGGGAAGGAGGGAGGGAAGGGGTAGGAAAAAGAGAATGTAATAAGAGATGGAGATAGACAGTCACACGGGCAGTAGAAATGGCAAAGGGGGAGAAATCCACTGGTGGAAACTACTGAAACACCAACAATGTATCTAGGCCAGAGGATATGGTTTCATTTACTCCCAAGAAAAGGGGAGCAAGAGCAGAGAGGATGCTGGGTGGCTCTGTTGTCTCAGGCGCAACAGCCTTCGGTGAGCAGGTTAAGAGAAGTCAGAGGTTAAGGACAGAATCGAGCTTACAAGAGACACAGCAAGAAGGATGCAAAGGGGAGTTACAGGATCAGAGATGAGGTGCCAAGTGACCCATGCATGTTGTCTTGCTCTCTCTTTCTACTGTGCTCTTTCCTTTCCTGCAGGTTGAAAGATGGAGGCTGCGGGGTTTTGCATGTCTGCAAACTATAGCAGGGGTCTCCTGTCAAAGACTTGGTCGCTGGGGATACTGTTCTCCCTTCCTGATGGAACTTCACCAAGTCCATTTGGGACCCATAAGGAAAATCTCCTCTAGGAACCATAGCATCAGCTGTGCTAACATGCTGTACTATTAAGTAAGCTAGAGCCCCAGACCAAGTAGAGAGAGATCAGAGGTTTTCCCTAGAAGGGCAAAGAGATCTTGGATTTCACAGTGGGTTTTGGCTGGGTGAAGAATGTCCCCAGTAAACATGCACCTAAAGTTCTATGTTACATCCCTTCGCCAAAGCTGATACACTGGCTGTGTGACTGTGGAGTCAGTGCCACCCACTAAGGATTAATCAGCTCTCAGAACTTACTACTTAAGAGTCTCCTGCTCCCAGGTCACAGCTTAGCCAACAAGCATTGCTTGGGTGTAATAATGCGTTCATAGTTAACATCATTGTGGGGGCGGATTTCTGGGAAAACCAGTCCCATCCACTTTGAGAATGTTCTAGGTTCCTCGTCTGCTCCTGCCATTGAACTGAGTTTCTAAATAAATCATCTATTCAGCTCTCTAATGTCTTGTCCATGTGGGGGATTTGTCCCAGTGGCAGTCATCAGCGGCTGGCTACTGATGTAGCTCCCCCCAGCATATATATTTGGTACGTTATGAGCCATGATTTCTACCTGGGCAGTTTACTCCATATCAAGCCTGGATAATTTGTACTGATGCAAATTGTGGCTTACATTGGCTTTCCCTGCTTACACTAGAGATTTGCACTAGTGCAATTGATGGTTATAACCATGTGTTCAGACAAAGCCTGATTCACCACCAGACTTTTAGTCTTACTTCAGCCACAACTGTCTGGCATAGCAGTATCCTTAGCTATGGCTCCGCTTGCTGCATACTATACTTTTAGCATTATTATTTGTATTACCATAGTGCCTAGGGGCCTCAGTCATGAATCCCTGTGCTGGACATTGAACAAACACATAAAAGAACCCTGCCTTGCTATCTGCTAGCTAAGAAGCAGGGTGTAGAAGGAGAAAGATCAAGAAACGTTCCACAGTCTGTCTCCTAGAGACTTTATATTTGTTCCTTCTTAGTCTGTCATTTCCTTCAATCTAAAATAAAAGTCACTTAGACTGAAAGTTGAGTAGTTGACTTCAATGGCTGGTTGACTAGTAAAGGAAACCTGGTTCACAAGTACCTGTGTGTGTAAAAATGTAGAGTTTAGTTCATTATGATTCACAAGCTCACAATAGTAGTTAATCACTATTAAATTTACTCCTGTGCAGAGGGCTAGCATGGGTCCCCTGCATCATCTGCATCCCACTAAAGCCTTCAAAACAGAGTTTATCTGGGCTAATAGTAGATTAGAGGTCTCACTGGGGTGAACCTCATCTATCATTTGGGCAACTACTGGGTACTCATGGCATGTGAATCTTGACAGTGTCCATTATTTTAACAGAAATTACTATTCATTCAAAACTGTATTCTGAATGCTCACATTTGTCTCTCAGTCTTCACCCACTTTTAAAGTTTTATCCAAACAAGGGAGGAAAAACAATACCATTGGACTTCCTGTATGTGACCAATCACACCACACAACCAGAAAATAGTGAACAACAGAAATGAACAGTTGCAAGGCTACGTCTACACTACAGCCTTTTGTCAGCAGAGACAATGCAAATGAAGAGCTCATTAGGGTTTGTCACTCTGTCATTTGCATATTCTTTGCTGATGCTTTTTGCGGAAGGGGTTTTTGCGCAAAACCAAGCAGTGTAGATGGGGCCGTTTTGCACAAAAAATCCTTTTGCGCAAGATCCCTTATGCCTCAAAAAAGGAGGCATGCAGGATCTTGCACAAAGGTTTTTTTTGCACAAAACAGACCTGTCTACACTGCTTGTTTTTGCACAAAAACCTCTTCCGCAAAAAGCATCGACAGAGAATATGCAAATGAAGTGTGACAAATGCTAATGAGCACTTCATTTGCATTGTCTCTGCTGACAAAAGGCTGCAGTGTAGATGGTAGTCTTGGTGTTCAATCAACGGACTGCAAATGGTTTGTGAAAAAAAATGCTTCTATCTAGCAAATACATTCACAAAATTCAGTTGCTAAGAAGCAGCAAATGCTTCTAATGCTGTTTGCACAGTACCTCCACAACTCAATCATGACTGAAGCCTTTCAGTACTTTAGAAGTGCTTTATTAATAATCATCATAATCATAAAGGGAGCTAAATTCATAACAAATGGTTCAGCCAACTCTCCCTAAGCTCTAGGATTTCATTGTCTGTGTACGGAAGGAAAAGCAGCAAAAAAGGAATGGGCTGATAGTATTTTAAAGAGAGGAAGAAATAGAAGAAAAAAGAAACAGCCCTGTTTCAGTAGTGTCTGACATGTATGCTAATTAATTTATATCAGCCCCCCCATAGGGCACGTCTACAATAGGAAATTATTTTAAAATAATTCAATTCGAAATAATAATTCCCAAAGGGTATGTCTACACAGCAAAATTATTTCCAAATAACAGCCGTTATTTCAAAATAACTTTACTAGCATCTACACAGCCAAACCGCTATTTCGAAATTAAATCAAAATAGCAGAGCGCTTATTTTGAATTTCGTAAACTTCATTCTACGAGGAATAACGCCAAATTCGAAATAGCTAAATCGAAATAAGCGCTGTGTAGACGCTTATTTTGAAACTAGCCTATTAGCCCGTCATAAGACGGGATTTTCTGGTCTCTCCTCCATGTCGGTCTTCTCTCCTGAGCCTCCGGTCTCTCGCTCCGAGTCTCTTTCTTTCTCTCTCCTCCTCCTACTGCCTCCCCGTCTCTCTCTCAGCTCTCCTTCGCCTTCTGCCTCTCTCTCTGTTTCTCTCTTTCTCTTCTCCTCCCGCTCCTGCCTCTCACTCAGGGGACTGCGCTCTCTGTGCTGCATGGGGAGCGCAGAGCCCAGACGGTCACTTGCGCCACTTGCTCCCACGCAGTGGCCCAGCTGAGCGGTGCAGAAGTCAGCTGAGCCGCGCGGGAGCAAGAGGCGCAAACGGCCTCTCTCTCTCTTCTCCTAAATGATGAGGGGTTTGGAACGGGTCCCATATGAAGAGAGGTTAAAGCAACTGGGACTTTTCAGTTTTGAAAAGAGGAGACTAAAGGGGGATATGATAGAGGTATATAAAATCATGAGTGGTATGGAGAGGGCGGATGAAGAAAAGTTATTTATTAGTTCCCATAATAGAAGAACTAGAGGACACCAAATGAAGTTAATGGGTAGCAGGTTTAAAACTAATAAAAGAAAGTTCTTCTTCATACAGCGCATAGTCAGCCTTTGGAACTCCTAGCCAGAGGAGGCTGTGAAGGCTAGGACTATAACAGAGTTTAAAGAGAAGCTAGATAATTTCATGGAGGTTAGGTCCATAAAAGGCTATTAGCCAGGGGATAAAATGGTGTCCTTGGCCTCTGTTTGTCAGAGGCTGGAGAGGGATGGCAGGAGACAAATCGCTTGATCATTGTCTTTGGTCCACCCCCTGTGGGGCACCTGGCGCTGGCCACTGTCGTCAGACAGGCGACTGGGCATAGGCATGCGCACAGGGTGTGCTGGGTGTGCCCAGGCACACCCTAATGTCTGGAGCTAGCCAGCAGCTGCTGGAGGAAGAGGGGGATTTCTGACGGTGCGCCACAGCCCCTCACTTTAAATTCCCCGCAGCCATCTTCTGGGCACTGTGGGGCAGAGAGAGCGCATGCATGGCATCCTCAAACACCGCGCAACAGGTGAGAAACATTTACTTAAGGGAGTA